CAATAAAAGAAGCGATACCTTGCAATAATTTAAACTAATCACTTTTTGCCAAATTATTTAACTTTGGGTGCTATTCGCCGCATTTCTTACATAAAAAAATCATGCCATTTCTTTACAAATACAAAATAATGTTGAGGTTAAACTGACATCTGATCTTTCGTCAACAAATGATAAACAAATGAATCAATGGTCGTCAAGTTTTCTCGTAGTACATTTCTATGAATCTGATTGTTGTCTAAGTGATCCTGTAGAGGACGCGTCGATGTAAGTTAACAAATTTTTCGTTAATTTATTTTATTTTTTAGATAAACCTTTTAATTATTATAGCTTCTTTTTAATTCGAACTAGTTATTTAAATTACTTTCATACATTTGAAACACTGTACACTTTCTATATCTACAGAACAGCTAGTTCTTTCCTAAGAAATGTTTGTGCCATTACTATTTGAAGAGAATTAATTAAAAATGCATAATGANGGGGATCGTAATTTAACATTATCTCTAATTCGTACGAAGTTCTCACGTGGTCTAATAAAGAAGTGGCAAACACTTGAACTTGGTCTCTCATATCCTGAAATGTACTCGTACAATAAGTATGTATACAAATGTCCGAAGTTTATTATATTAATCCTACAATATATTCTAATTTAAATTCCGATTCCATTGTGCTGAGCCTTCTCAATTCCCATGACAATTCGAAGGCTGTTAAGAGCGGATCTCGTGAAGATAGCGATATCAGAGATGGCGAACTGAGTGCTTTATAGGCATTAATTCGAGATAGAGAATGTCTAAGTGAATCAGCGGAACTTGATTGGACGCAATCATCGCAACCACATCTGAATTTAACGGAATAAAATGAATAAATTGCATGATTTGTGTCGCTAATAGTTCACCTGACATCATGAGGCATTGGCAATGTGGCGCCTCTATCCAAAAGTAATTTTATTATTTCGTAGTTATTTTTGTGTGCTGCCAAAATAAGAGGAGTTATGTCAGGCGTGAAAGTGGATGTAGCTTTGTCTACAGACTCCCAGCTCTGGAATTATCGCAAATCAAAAATGCTTTTACCCAACCGAATTCTGATGCATACGATACGTACGTAAGGTGTTCCAGCTTTGTGGTTTTTTTCTTCCCATTCTAAAAGGAGTTCTACAGCTTCTATATACTCTTCGCGTATCGCGTGAAGTAACGCGTCCTAAAAAGGAAGCTGTTGTGTATTCGGGGATTTAATATGCATTTTGATGATGTTAAACGGCAACGTAAAAATTAAATTATACCTTTACTAGAATACCCTCGTCCAACAGAAGCTTAATTAATTCAATATTTTCATTTTCTATAGCAGCAACTAGTGCTGATCTATTTAACGGATCAACGCAATTTATATCTAGATCGTGAGGACTATTTGCGTACTGTTTGATGAGTCTAAAATATAAAATAAAAATCAGAATTATAAATATGCAAATGTATATGAAATTAATGTTCCAAAATCATAAGTAAAAAGTATCTACCTACGTATAAAATGACAAGTTTTAATTAAATCAAGCCAGCACGGCAAATAAGTTGTATTTCATACTAGGTTTCACCCGCGGCTTCGCTCGCGTTGATGTCCTAAATACGTGCCAAAGATCATCGACGATCACATAAAACAATAACTATGAAATACTGACATTTCTTAATAGGGGTTAACAACAAATATTAATGTGAAAATTCATTTTTTAATTTTAATCCCACTACGAACCACCTCAACTTAATGAGGGAAAAATTTGTTGCTGCTGTAACACCCTTGCCGGGAATCGAACCCGGGACCTTTGGCTTTAGAGCACTGGTCCGTAAAACCAAAGGCCCCGGGTTCGATTCCCGGCAAGGGTGTGACAACAGCAACAAATTTTTCCCTCATTAACTTGAGGTAGTTCGTAGTGGGATTACAATTAAAAAATGAATTTTCACATTAATATCACATAAAACAAATTTTTCTATCCTTCGGGAACAGTATTTTTTTTCTGGATAAAAAGCACCCTATGTCCTTTTCTGTACCCCTGGCAATGTGTTTACAAAATTTCGTGATAGGCTTTACCCGCGGCTTCGCTCGATTTGTCGGTTAAATACGTGTCAAGGATCATTGACCACCACATAAAACTAATCTTTTTGTATCTCGGGAACAGTATTTTTTTTCTGGATAAAAGCTACTCTATGTTATTTTCTCTACCCCTGACAATGGGTGTGTAAAATTTCATAATGATCGGCTAATTGGTTAAGGCGTGAAAAGCAAACAAACTCACATTCGCATTTATAGTATCAGTGAAGATATAAGAGAATGTTGAAGGATTTTGCGCGAATTTCCTACATCAAATCGAATTTTTTAGAAGATAACGCCGTCCATATTGACGATTGCATGTACTATTAGAATATTCTAATGATGTTCGGTTCTCAATTCGCCACTAGTGTATAATAAAAAGTTATAGGTTGTATGGGACTGCTATTGGTCACCCTGTATCAAAAGTGTCATCATTTTTTCGTGTTTTGCTAAGGTTTATCTGCGGTCTTCGCGTCGGCAGCCCTTTATGCTTAATATCGATTCGGGACACGCACAAAAGCCTCTTTAAGCCCTTAATTGTCACTTGAACGATTACTGTTTAAGTGAAAACGACGGTTGTCTTCTTGCAACCCCCGGTTGCTTTAACATTAATTCGAATGTTGACTTGACAAACTTCCACCTCATTAAAATTCTAAATGAAATCTCATAATGAAATTGCGTGACTAGAGCCCAAAAATATCAAATAAGGTCCTAATCTGTATTATACTGTGGCAATTAGATAGTTTATAGTAGGACACATAGAAATATGCGAATTGTTATTTGTTTCTGAATATACGCTAAGAGTATTTAATTATTTAAAGTTTAAAATTGGTCTATTTTAACTTATCTTTATTTGTTGTAAGCTTTATTTTTTTTAAATTTCAATAAATTTTTAACTGACTTGACAGTAAATATGCCTTGATTTCAATTTCGAAACAAAGAAATATTTAGTTTCAATCTCTATTAATAATGAGCGTAAAACTTTTTTAATATGTTTAAATAATAATTAAAACTTTAAAATTGCATTTATTTCAGACAATTATAAATATTATCATTATATTATCAAGTAAAAACGAGATTTTCAGCTAATTTTTCATTTTTTCCTCGATAACCATTTAGTGAATTTGAATAACCTTACGCTAAAGTGATTCTCCAGAGTTCAAGTTACGTATTATAAAAGTTTGAAATTTCTGGTAGCTTTTCTCCTGTTAATAAAAATAAATTTAATCTGTTCGGTTAACGAATCTTCATAAAATGACGTGTAAAATTACAATTTTTTAAAATTTCAATAACTTTTTAACGGTTTAGTGAATCGATTTGTAATTTTTACCGGAGTTTTAGAATTGAATGAAGAACGTTCTTCCAAATTTTTATTTGCTTCGCAGCATTTTGACGTACCTCCCAAACATCCTTAAATTATAGAAGGTTTTTATTTTAAGTAATAGAGGTTGTGGACTCCGAGGGGAAGGGAACACAAAACTTTATGAATTTATAGAGGTTATTACGTTATCGAGGTTCAAGTTATCAAGGTTCTACAGTACCATTTAAATAAAAAACAATATTTCAAATTTTTAAACTACAGTTGCAGAAATTAAGAGAAAACGGACAACACACGTCGCATACTTTATGTACTTTCGTTAATATTATGTCAAAAAGGACAATATTTACATAAAGTTACATTCTCAGAAATAAAATGTATCTGTCTGACTATAAAATTTCTTAAAACGCAAAACTGTTTTCGTTTTTGTCGCCATTGCACAAATTCTGCCCCTGGCAAATTCCAAAACCTTCCCGATTTCATGGACTCTGATCAATTTGTGCTCAACTAAATCCTGATTGACATGTGTGAAATCAGTTGGGTTAATCCAATTTCGAAGGAGCATTTTGCACTTGTTCTTTTACTTGAACTCTTTTATGCAATTATTATGGCTTGTACACCCACAAAAACCTTTAAAGAAAGCAATTCTTGAGAAAACTTCAACAACCTCCACGTTAAAAAAAAACTCCGTTTCTGTTTAGAGATTAACAAAAGATTTTGTTAGTGTATACTTAGATACCTTTAAACTTTTTACGGTATCATTTCTTAAACGTGGGTGCAAATAAAGTGAACTTTGTGTTTATTTTGAAGGCAAGGAAGAAAATTCGGCATGGTACTTCTTAAAAAAAATGCGCGGGAAATTAATTATGCCTTGTTGAATTCCTGTTTTGTGAACTTAATATGTTAATATCCATTGTTCTGTAAGTCGTTCTAGTCTTTATTACCTCCCTATACATAGATATAAATTAATTTACCGTTAAGCTAACCATATTGCTCGGGTAAGAATCAGTGGCGACATGGGGTAGTTTATATAGCGTCTGCATAATTTCAAAATTAGTAGGTATAATTGCTTATTTTCTGATCTAGGGGAGAAATTAATTTTGCTGTTGCAGGTAGTGAGCAAACTAAAACACTTGCTCTGTCATTTGGTATTATGTAGCATTGCAGACGTTCAAAATACAGATTTTCCCACCTCTAATGCAATGTTAAAGGCTGAAGAGAGCAATACTTTGTCATTGATCATCCCAGTTGCGACGGTTCGCAATTATAGAAAATTTTGTAAATTTCCATGTTTTCCGAACGTTCTATAACTTGCAGAACGTTCTACATTTTTGTGCATCTTTTACTAAGCGTTACCCAGGGGAGGACTCTGAATATGAGGGTGCCTGGGCTAATACCACGTCGGAGGCTTAATTAATCAAATTAATTACCATTTTGACAAAAAACTATTTTCTTTAATAATTTTTTGCAGTAGATTATTTTTTTTATTTTTTTCCATTGTCTTCAATGGACGCTGAGGACCATTTATATCCACAGGGCCCTGGGCTGCAGCTCAAAAAGCCCAAACATACGTAAATCCGGCCCTGGCGGTACCTACACTTCACTGCTCAGTTATAGTGAGTCTATTTATTAAGTGAGACTAATTATTATTTTCTGCCTCAATGCGAACCATTATTTATCAGTTGTTAACATTGGTGTGATTTGAGTTTCGTTTCTATTTGATCGGTATGCTGTTTTTTGCAATCTCTTTCGATTGAATTGTACTTGCAAAAAGCCCAAACATACATAAATTCGGCCCTGGCGGTACCTATACTTCACTGCTCAGTTATTAGCGAGTCTATTTATTAAGTGAGACTAATTATTATTTTCTACCTCAATGCGAACAATTATCAGTTGTTAACATTGGTGAGATTTGAGTTTCGTTTCTATTTGACCGGTATGATTTTTTTTGCAATCCCTTTCGATTGAATTGTACTTGCAGTACCT